GGTGGTGAGCGGACCAATCGCTCCGGGGGGGGGGGCACTATGGACAGCACAGTGGCTGGGTGCAGAGGCTGCTCGGAGAAGAGGAGGCTTGGACACACCAGGCGCCTCTGTCTTCACAGTCATTGACGCACACACGTCACCTGCAGCGCTTGCATGGGCCTGATAGAGATGGGGAAACTGAGGCTGGGGGGGCTAGGTGTTTTGTTGTTAGGGAGTCTGGGGCCGAGCAGGGGATTTGCCTGGGGGGAGGGGCACATTTAGGGGACCTGTACTCGGAGAAGAGGAGGCTTGGACACACCAGGCGCCTCTGTCTTCACAGTCATTGACGCACACACGTCACCTGCAGCGCTTGCATGGGCCTGATAGAGATGGGGAAACTGAGGCTGGGGGGGCTAGGTGTTTTGTTGTTAGGGAGTCTGGGGCCGAGCAGGGGATTTGCCTGGGGGGAGGGGCACATTTAGGGGACCTGTACCATTTGGCAACAGAGGTGTGGGGAGGGCCCAGGCTAGTATCGCGCAAGCCCGGGTAAGGGCGTTCATCCACCCCCACCCCCATTCCCACTTCTCCAGGTGTCAGCCGCCCCCTGCGCCTCTCCCTGTCCTGCCACGTCCCCTCCCCCCGGGCTCTGTGGGGAGCCCCGGGGCAGCCAGCAGGCCCCCGACTCACCTTCCCCCCGGTTGAGGCGTTTCATGAAGGGCTTGAGGTCCTTCTCGAAGGCGATGGCGCTCTCGGTGTGGCTCTGCCGCAGCTTCCGCCACGTCTCATCCAGCCGCGTGATCTGCAAGGGGACGGGGCTAGGACTGAGGGGGGGCCCCTGTGAGGGGCCATGCTGGGCAGCGACCGTCGCCAAGCCGACCCTGGCAACACTGTCCCGCTCTCCAGAGCCAGACACACCCCCCGGGAGCTCAGCGTCCAGGGTGGGACCAGGGGGGCTGCATTACCATGGGGCGAGGGTCCTAGAACTACTCAGTTGGAGGGGAGTCCCATTCCCCAGGGCCACCGTGCTTAGGGGCAGAGCAAGGCCTATTGGCTCCCAGTATGACAGAGCAACTCAAGGCCTGCAACCTTGCCCAGGCCACCTGACCAAGATGGGGGTCCCCACTGTGCTGGGCGCGGCACAGAACGATAGCCTGTCTCCGCCCTGCACAGCTCCCTGGTTGCACACACACACACTGCGGTCAGGAGAAACTGAGGCCCAGAGCGGGGCAGGTCACAGAACCCAGGTCTCCTCAGCCACTAGATCACGCTGCCGCTACCTAACCTCTCCCCTCGGACCAGGGCAGTTCTGCGCCCCACCGTGTGGGCTACGCAGCAGCCCAAGCCACGGGGCTCACAGCCCTTGATGAGACCCACCCAAACCATCCCTCTGTGTAGGCCAGGGCCAAGGCCGGTCTCCACTGGGAGCAGGAGCTATTCGACCCCCAGCCCGCCCCTCACCTGGGGCAGCTGCAGGCTCTTCATCACAGCCGACAGCGCAAACAGGTCCCCGGCTGAGCCCTTCAGCTCCATGGCCAGCTGGATGATCTTATGCAGGGTGGCGGCCAGGATGTCCACTGCGATGCCCAGAGCAATGAGGTGGTGTCTGGAGGGGGCAGACACACCATAGTGGCTGAGTTTACCCCTCCTGCTACCCAACCCACAGGCCTTTTGCTAATAGGTGGCGCTACCCAAGGCAGGTAGGGTGGGTGTGGAGAAGCTAAGCAGGTTTGGCCTTGGTTGTGTGTTGGAGGGGAGACTAGTAAGGAGACACCCTCTAAATGCAGTGAGGACCTCAGGAGGGAGAATAAACGGAAAACTTAGATCAACCTAGCTACAGTGTGACCATCCTGGACATCAGTCTGCAGGGCTGCTGTGTGTGCATCAGTGTGTGTGTGTGTCTCCCCCTCCCCCAGGTGCCCCAGAATAGCTCTAAGGAGCTATGGGCTCAGTAGGGGGCTGCTGACTGCTTCTGAGGTGCAGTGCAGTCTGCTGCCAGGACAGGCAAGGAGCTGCCTTAGCCCCACCCCTGATCCCCCTGCAGCAACGTGCCTCTGACATGCCATGAGCCATCCCTTGAAAACCACTGGCCTGGGAGTTGCTCTGCCACCGTCCAGATGAGACTCCCACTTTGTCTCTGCAACTGTTTAGTCCCCAGCCGTACGGTCAGGTCTACATGGCACATCTGTCTCAGGGGAACTACGGTGCTCGGAGGGTGACCCCCCCCCTGAACACCACGGCCATGCCCACCCACGGCTCGGTGCACACGGTGACTCGGCTCCCGCTCACACTGCTCCTGCCTCTCCCGGAGGTGGCTTAATGCCGCCGATGGGGAGCCAGTGTCCTCCTTGCTGGAGCGGTGCGGCGGCATTTTCACGACCCAGCCCGCGGGATCCTGGCTGCTGTCTGGTGAGTGTGTTCGGGTGCGTCGGTCTGGCCTGGTTTCATAGTGCAGTCCCGAGCCGGTACGGCCCCCTCAGCTGGGCGCACGGAGCCAGCGCCCGGCAGCCCAGGGGGCAGCATCACACCCCATGCAGGGTGGCCCTTATGTGAAGTCCAGACTTATCCTGCGGGCTGTAAAGGGCTTTACCAGGCCAGGTCCTATTCTACCTTCCCTTTGGGGCTTCAATTAGACGCCTCCTACTGGTCCAAATCCTGCTGTGTGGCTGTTTCCGTGACCCTCGTGCCCTCCCCCAGAAGCAGCCGCATTTCAACGCTGCTGCGGCTCGCCCCGGCCCCGGGCTGGTACCTTTCCAACAGGTCCAGGCGCAGCTGGTGCCCGTGAGGCAACGTGATCAGCTCCAGACCTGAGCTCACTCCCATGGCTCGCTGCTGCTCCCGGGACACCCCGGTGATCCTGCCAACCTGGTGCAAGCAAAAACACACGCGTAGGGTGAAGGCCTGAGCCCTGCCGGGACAAAGGGACCTGCCTGCCAGCGAGCAGTGGAGGGGAGCCAGATGGCTGGGTCCCCCAAGGGGGGGCATGCCGATCCGCCCATTCCGCGGTCGCTGGGGAGCGAGCAGGACTCCAGCTGGGCTCAAGCCGGCCCATCCCAGCCGGTCCATACACCACCCCCTCCCCATCGCCGGGATCACTGCGCCGCAGGGATTTGGGATCACTAGGGGGCGCTCCCCGCCCCACAGTTCTGAGCCCAGTGCTTCAGTACAGCAGTAGGGGGCGCTGTGCTGCCAAGGAGGGGGGGCCAAGGTGGCGCGACCCCCGCAAAGGCAGAGCCAGCCCCAGTCCCCTCTGCTCCCCATAACTCCCCGGAGCCTGCTTCCCATTCTCTGGGGCTGCTTCCATTGGAGCTAGGAGTCCTGGCATGCCAGCCTCCCCTCCCCCCACTAGACCCCCATTTCCATCCCAGTCCTGGTACCCAGAGTCCCCCTCCCCCCCCGCTCTAACCACTACACCTCATCCCCTCCCAAAGCTAGGGACAGAATCCTGCCCCGCCCCCCTCCCCTTACCAGGCAGTCCATGTAGAGGACGTGCAGGGCCATGGTCCGGCAGTCCTGCTGGCCGAAGATCTCCTTGAGCCGTTTGAGGGCACTGGGCTCCAGAGGCTTGTTGTCGGGGGGCAGGAGGAGGGAGTGGAAGCTGTGGGGCTGGAAGGAGGAGGCTGTCTCCAGCAGGGGGCGCACAAAGCCCCCCCGCTCCTCCTCCTCGCGGCGGCGCAGCTGGGGGAGCGGCACCGCCTCGTCCTCGAGGAAGCCGAAGGCCGTGTCCGTGGCCCGGGCCCAGCCCCGCCACTTCTCGTCGGTGTGCAGCCGCGCCACGTGACTCCGCCGGCCGGCCGGGGCTTTGGGCACCAGCTCGCAGTAGGTGCTGAGCTGCTCCGGGGAGGCGTCGCCCAGCAGCAAGGAGGGGGCCCGCAGGGGCTTGGGGGGAGCCTTGGAGTGCAGCTGCCCCTCCGAGCCGCTCAGGGCCACGCCCCCCTCTGGCTCCAGGCACCGGGGGGCCGTGGGCCGCAGCACGGGGTCGCTGCCAGTGCGGAAGACGGGCGAGAGGGGCGGAAGCTCGCCCCGCTCCTGCGTGCCAGCGGGAGCCTCCGGGCTGCCTGCAGAGGGAGACGGGAGCCTGTCAGAGGGGGCCCCGTGGGCCACGCAGAGCCTGGGTCTGATCTCAGCCAGGAGCGGGGTAAAGCCGAGGTCACGCCCCTAGGGACGGGGCACTCACATCGGCGAGAAAGCAGCGGGGGGCCGACCGGAGCTATGGGGCCAGATCCCCAGCCCTATCGCCACTGGAGGCAACAGAGTGGCAAACCGGTTTGTAAGGAGTCTATTATTTGGTGTATTACGGTAATGCCTGGGCGCCCCCATCAGGGTGCACAACCCTGCTATGCTGGGATCTGCACGTTATCTATTAGATATATTACGGTAGCACCTAGGCAGCTCCTCTGTCATGGACCAGGAGCATGCTAAGTGTGGTGCATTCTCTTAGGTGTATTACGGTACCACTGCCTGATGGGGCTGCACATATCCCCACAGCCCCTGGCCTGGCCCCCCAGTTGGGGGCAGGGGTTGTCTCCTTGGCCCCCCACATACCTGTGGGCAGGTTACCGTCAGACTGCGCCGTGTAGAGCGAGGGGCGCCGGCCCAGCTGATCCAGCCCGGTGGGGTGGCTCCCGCTCCGGTCTTTCGTCCTGCAGGGAGACCCGCGACACCATGAGTCATGGGCCCCCAGGCTACCGCAGAGGCCCCCCCCCCGGAAAAGA